AGGCACCCTGCCACTATGTTGTTCTTGTTTCTTTTGGCCCCTGTGACCCTGGCCCATATTTCCCAGGGGCGAATCACATGGAACCCTCTATGAAGCGGGGCTTTGGGATCCACTTCACCCCGGTGCGTTCATCGCATAGGGTTTCATTCGTCCCAACTGGTGCGTGTCGTGGGTTTCGTCCAACGACTTCAGACGTGGTGCAATCATATTTTGGCCAATATACCAGAGTTGGAATTGACAAGAGGAGTGTCCTTTTCCCAAAAGCTGACAGAAGGCCTATAGCCTGGCATCGCCTGGAATTAGGAAGGCCATGGGTTGGTTTAGGTATCGATGTGGGCCCCTACAAGCCCTATGAATACACTGGCATAGAATTGGGATAGACTGGACACATTCCTGCACCAATGGGGATGGATGAAACCCAATGGGATTTTGTCCATCAGGTGCTGCTTTGCGATGAGCCCACCAGCGGCCTGGACTCGGCCGCCGCCTCCAACATGGTGGCCCGGGCTCCGAGCAAAAAGCTTTTGGGACCCGCCTCCGAGCTTTGGGTATGCGTCAAACTAGAAATCAATTGCTACAAGTTTAAATGCATGAGAACCGTCCCTGCGAAAGGGGCACTTGCGAGTTTTGAGCACGCACACACACAAGCCTGCTTGCAGCAAATGTTGACTATGGCAGGGCAGAAGGGAGGCTATTAGAGCAGGTTGTGTTCTTCCATAAGCAGTCGTTATCAATTATGGGTTAGCATTTGTTGCAAGGACGGTTTCATTTTGCGGGCTCTCAGGATTCAAACCCACTGAGTTCCTGGGCTTTATACTTGTTAGGACTTTCTTTGGCAAATGCACTCTAGCAGCGTAGTTTACATACTCCAAAAAGCGAATGCCAAAGTTTGTCTACGCACAGGCAATCCAAAGTGCTGCCATGCCCAGAAATGCGAGACTAAGTGAGGAGTTTCAGTGTACCTACGATAGGTGAAAACATGTCGTCTACATTGGCAACAGGACAGAACTAAACCAAACACAAACCTCCTTGCCTGTTGTATACAAGTTGTAGGTACTGAGGTTGCATCAATTTCTATTGTTGGGGTAGCGGTGTGTCGACAGAGAACATGGATTGTATTCTGCTCTGAATCACAAGAACCTGTGCACACTTGCAAGTACATGGGAACACATCCAACTTTGGGTTGGCAAGTACCTTTCGACAAGCACGAGCCAAACATGGAACCCACGCACCACGTTGAATCCCCCGACCCACATGTCGCCCACTAAGCGGCTGTTCCAAGCGGCAAGTGGCCAAGGCAGTGCTCAAATCTCTTGCAGGCGCGCTGGGGGCACTGCTGGCTTCGGCTCCACTTCTCGCTTGCTTGTTCGCAGGGAAGATGCAGCCAGGGTTGCTTCTTCAGACTTGTCAAGTACAAGAGCAGTAGGCTGAGTTGTCCATGTTGCCTACTGCTATGGCACGAATGGTCAATTGTCTGCATACTTTGCATGAATTGTTGTATGCGCAACCCTGTTGTGCTGGAAGGAAGATGGGCCTGCCTCCCCGAAAGGGGGAAGACTCTTTGGGTACCACCTGGAAAGTCTATCAACAGCCGCTATTAAAGGGGATGTGAGTAGTACAGTGGATGCCATGAAGATTTAGGGAACCAGGATATGCTTGTAATCCACAATGTTTTTACCAGGTGACCATTGTGCATCATGAGGCTTTTTTGTTGGACAGCTTTACAACAAGGCCCGCGTCATGTGATTGTGGATTTTCAAAAGAACCTTCGCCGGGGCTAGAGGAAGTGCGACGACGTGGGCCGCCTTTGGCACACATGAGCAACCGAAACGTTGCCAACATCCACTGATCGTTGTTGAAAAAGGGTATGTTTGTTGTTTTTGTGGGAACTCCTGTGATTTGGGTTGCTGACAAAGCGCCAAAAGTAATCCACCTCTTTTGGGGGTCCTCTCAGTTCGAGACGAACCCAAATAGTTTGATAGAGCGGTCACGGCCAGGCCGAGGTGTCACGGTGGTGGCGGCAATTCACCAGCTGCTTACTCAGAGATCCGGGGTCCGATCCGCTGGCAGTTTCAGGCTTCATCCGAGCGAAAGCCTTTCGGGGAATCACATATCAGGGGGGTTTATTGCTTTGCGGGTTTCCTTCTCAAATAGAGGGGATGGAAAGGCAAGCCCTGGTCAAACATTGCCACGGATTGACGCCATGTCACGTGCAAACACCGCCTCATGCAATGACTATGTATCATTGTTTGTTGCTGTTTGTTTCGTACTTCAGGTTGGTGACATAATGTGACATAGAGCCAACGAGCGTCTTGAATCCTTGCGTCATCTTTGGCAAATGCCCAGCAAAGGAGTCGGCTGATGATGCAGTGTAGTCCCGACCGATGGAAGGCAACTAATGTTCTGTCGCTGCAAGTTTGCTGTAGTCGCCCTGCTGGTCTTGCAACCTGCAGAAAATAATACCTTGATCCATGCCGTGCGAGGCGGCATCAAAATACATCAAGACATAGTTTCCTGTCTTCTGGACTTTAAGCTGTGGACGACCATGTTGCTTCACTGAGATGAGAATATAACAATGTTAATGTGAGTTGGCTTTGGCCGGGCCACATCTTTCATGCACCACTGCTTGGAAGCAGCGTCAAGACAAGCATTATTAGGTTGGCGAGGGAGTGGTTTCAGTCCACTTCCTGGATTCCTGGGTGTTGCCATGAATAGATCCTGCATGTGCATGTGTTGTCATTGGCTGTATGCGGTGACTGGGCCGTGCAAAATCAATCCGCACGATCCGTCCCTTGAATTTCCAAAGGAAGGGGCCCGTTTGTGATGGTTTCCCCATTAAGATTGTGTGACATGGATTGCCCGACCCTTCCCTTTGAACAGCCCATGAACTATTTATGTAGTACTGACCGATGGCGTGCTGAAAGTGGAGGCGCTTGAACATTGGGAATCATTGCAACTGTCCAAGGGGGGGTTGGTTTGCGACCGCACCAAATATTGTCTACTAAGTGTTTGTTTTATCAGGAACTCTTTCTGTGGTTGTGGCACTTATAGATTCATTATGCTTAATTCGGAACATTGGCGCAGAAGCGGTCATCAAGCCGAAAAGAAGATCAGAATCTTCATTCCAGGGGGTGAAGGAACTCATGCGCCATCGCTACTTCAACATTTGGTCACATCCTACATGTCGTTTTGATGTTGCAGAATGTAAAGTGATGGTAAAGAACAATGCAAGCAAGAACACCTGAAAATCCTGGCCAGGTGTTTGCTTGAAGATTGATCCAGTTGTGCCATGGCGTCAATGTACGTTTCAGTTCAAGTCAAAGCAAGGGCGCCAGTTGTGCTCATCACGTACTCTAGAACGATTTCATCCATCCATTCTGCCTGACTGAGACGTTTGTTTGTTGGGCCCGGGATGCGAGGCCCTCGTACTCTGTCTTCAGCGAGTTCGACTTCTTGCTACTCTTGGAGGTGCCCATGACGAATGCAGTGCTCCAGAGCTCTGAAATTCTTTGGACTTTCCTTTGAGTCCCGGTGATGTTGGAAGGGACACTACATGGGCACCATCCTTTACTACACATTTTATACATGGGTCTGTTCCAGGAAAGACCCAAACTTCCAAACCAATACGGAGGGCAAGTTATTTCGTGCAATTGCAACAGGGAATATCAGAAGTGTCTGGATTTGTCTGTTTTACGTGGCTTCATACCCCATTCGCAAAGAGCTTGCTCTTTCAAGGCTTATGATCGAGTGGTGATCATCACACATCTTCAATACAAAGACACCTGTGCCGACGTTCCGACCATGGCTTATTGAGAGGGAAGGCCCACTGCTGCAGCCCTGAAGCGGTGAACCATTATCATTTGAATTCAGATATTCTACAACCCCATCTCACCCCCCGCACTGCGAAGGCCTTTTTTTGCCTTTTGTTATGGCTTATCAAGTCAGATGGCGGGAGTCATGGCTTCCCGGGGATTCCGGGGTCCCCGCAACAAATGTTTTCCTGGTTTGTGAGTGAAACACACTTGGGCTCATTGGAAGTGAGTACATGTTTGCATGGGCCAGGAGGTTTGGGCTGGTCTCAAGCCAAACCTTATTCTGTTTGGGGATTCTTGCATGGTAACTGGGGAGTCAAGAGACCTCACAGGAGAAAGGACGAGCACAACGCGCTCACGCTTTGGCTATGATGTTCCTTCTCCCTGGGCAGGATCGCCAAGCTGGATACCATGTTTTGGTTGCCCCTCTCAGCACCAGAACAGCAAGCCAATGTTGGACGAATCTATTCTATGTCGGGACGAAGTGCGTTTGTCTGTGTGTGTGTGTGCGTGAAGCAACTGATCTGAGGCCTGACTATCTCACCAATAACGTTGGTTTTGCAATTCTGCAATTCTCCCTGTGTGACATGATGCAGCCGGCGCAGGCTGGGCACACTGTGTACAGCGGCCAGGCCAGGGTATGGGGACGGCCAATGAATGGTCAATTATGATCATTGGATTGGCTTCAAACATTGAGGGCGTTCAGCACTTGCAACCAGCGTTACTATTGGAGTAAGTTGTTTGCTATTGACAACTTGTGTGTGTTTAGTACTCTCATTTCATTTTGTTCATGAAGGGAGAGACAGACAGAGAGAGAGAGAGAGACAGAGAAAGAGAGAGAGAGAGAGAGAGAGCGAGAGAGACAGAGAAAGAGAGAGAGAGAGAGAGAGCGAGAGAGAGGGAGAGAGAGAGAGAGAGAGAGAGAGAGCGAGCAAGCGAGCGAGGGAGGGAGGGAGGGAGGAAGGAAGGGAAGGAGGGAGTGGCTGACTGACCGCGTGCGTTTCAACCTCAGCTGCAAGCCTGCGAGGCTGCAAGCCTGCGAGCCAAAGGACAGGTCCAACCCCAATAGCCATCAAGACTCAGCATGGGGTGTCAAGCCCATCAAGATGATGCCGGACCCCTGACCAACGGGTGTTTATTCTTTTCGATTTCAACGAGTTGCCTGTAAGCCATTGATACCCATTGGCCATGGTGCACGTTTACGACGCCTCCCGCTGCGTGGCCGTGTTGGCGGACGAGGAGGTGAAGGGCCTCAACTCTGACTTCCTGAGGGCCCTGAAGGCGTACTTGGCGCCCCTTTTGGGCGCTTCCAGCCGCTAAACCCGCAACCGGGTTTGCTTCCAGGGCCAGAAAACGTAGGTAACCAAGGCCAACCATCAAACTAAAGATCCCTGGTAGCTAATCCACTATGGCAACTAGTCCTTGTTCCCTATCCCATTCGACATCTTGCTCTGGTTTCTGGAAATGTTGTGATTGGACCTTGACACTTTTGAAGCTGACCTCTGTAGAGTCAAACGTTTGGCTGCAAAAAGTGGCCCTTTGGCGGAGGTGACTTATGTTCCAGTCATGCTTATTTGTTTGCTGCATGTCGTCCCTGTTTGAACTGAACATTACCTTTCAGGCGCATGTTGATTGAGTTTCCTTTGGGGTGATGTTTGACTTGAAAGGACCCCTGGCTTTCGGGAGGGGCCGACCGCCCAGGATTCCGCCAAAGGCTGCTGGTGGACGACCGGGAGGTTCAGGATGGCGAGTCTTGGGAGGAGTTGGGATGCCCGTCCCAGCTACAAGTGCTGGTGCTGCCATATCGCAGCTCTGCCAAAAACACATCGACGGAGTTCGTTTGCTTGAATTGCGTTGGAAAATCCAGTCAAATTCCAGGGCCCAATAGATGCTGGGATATTTCAAAGAGGTAAAGAGACGGGGTCCCATATCTCTGAGTTCAATTCAATTTGGGTTTGTCAGGTCTCCACATCGGGGCACCCTTTGCTATCCTTTTGGTTTTTCGAAGCAGCCACCAGAAGGGACCCCGAAATAGACACGCCAATGTTTGGGTGTTGCCTCAAACTAGGGAGTCCCCTTCTTCAGGGGGCGGAGGGACTGAGGACATGTTTCGCGCTTTTGAAGTACGAGGGAACATTTGTGCCCGGGTGAAGAGTTCCTTTTTTAGAAGGCCGTCAGTGGTCTCACAGAATTTGACAGTGTTTCAAGCTTGTTCGATGGTTTGAAGGGGAATTAGATGAACATCCGCCACTGGGAAGTTGTTCCTTATTTCAGGCATCTCCTAAATCGCTGTTGGTAAACCAATCCATTTGGCTCCATCCTCGTATGTCGACAATTTGGGCAACGCAGGCAGCGAAGCGCCCAAAGACCTCATGGATGCAGTGAAGCAGGGCGATGAATCCGAGGCGAGGACTGCCTGGCCGTTTCCAGCCGTTTCCCCCCTGGCTGTCCAGTACTTTGTTGAGTGACGGGCATGATTTGGGGCATTTGACAGCCAGAGTTAAGAGGGCCTGGCAAGGACTCGTTTCGTGTGGCTGTTTAGAGTGGATCGAGATGAGTATGTAAGATATAGGCATTGTTTCATTTTGTTTCTTGAACCTGCCTGATTGGACAAATGTTCCTAGACTGGTCGAACGCTAGAAAGCGCAGGTGTCCTTTTGTCGGCAAAGGGATAACCCTGGCAGATACTGAGAGCCATTGTGTATCTCACATTTGGAGACTTCTGGCTGATGGCCTTGAGCAGGGAGACCAACGTCCCCAGCGGCACCCGTGCCTTTTTTGGGTGGTTAGTGTTCCCTTCAAAGCAGACAACCAAACAGAATAGATACCTAGTTTTCCACCAAGGAGTGTTCTTCTAGGTTTCGAGCCAGGTGACAGCTGCCTTGGAGAACTTGTTGGACCCCAACCTGGAGATGTTGATTTCGGACCACGACTTCCAGTGCTTCACCCCGCTCTACTGCGCGGCTTTGCAGGGGCGCCTGGACCTTATCCAGCTACTGCTGCATGGCCAGACTTAGCGGAAGCCTTTTGAGATGTTGTTTTTTCTTCTTTTTCCGAACTGTTCCTTCATTTTCCCTTTCAACCAACACGTCAACGCTTGGCACGGCGACGTGTTTCGTTGTGTTGCATTGGGAACTGTTTTCGAAGGGGAACCAAAAGGAGACCTTGTTGTATTGCCAGACTTAGTGAGTTTGGCCCTGTTGGTTTTCCTTCATCCTGTCTTTCACCAAAGTGTTCACTTTTGATCAGTCTGCCTCAGGCTGGAGGGGGGGGCTCATGTGGATCAGGCGGGATCGGGCCGGATAGCGCGAGATGGGATCGGCTTTGCCACACTAGACTTTCAAATCGTGGTTCCACATTGCAGTTGTCGTGTAGGACCACCCCTCACGGATATGCGTCCTTTTGAGTTTGACACTTTGAGATGCCTGGACCTTTTGAGTCGCCTGGACCTTTTGAGTCTGCTTCGAGGCTAGACACCTCATGCCTTTGTGTTTGAGATGTGCAGGGTGGGTTCTCCACTCCATTGGCGGTGGCAGCTCAAAAGGGCCACCTCCATGTGGTGCAGTACCTGGTGGAGCAGAACGCGAATGTGGAGAAGGTCAACGTCATTTGGATCGATCTAAACATTTGGACTGTTCCTGCGCGTCAAAATCGGCTACTGGAAATTGTGGTTTTTCTTCAGCTACCACTGGGATCACTTGGATTGATCATAGTAAAGTTATTAAATCGCCTCTAGAGACGGTTTTCCGGTGCGCAGATGGTCGGCAATGGTGGACATCTACGTATTGAGAAATTGGTCCAAGACATGGCCAATCGGGCCCCGAGAATTGGGAAGGTGCACAAGTTGGGGCATCGGCCCTCCTGGAACAATGAACCGAAAGTTCTGAGGAAATTTCCACATTCCTTGCAGTCAAGTTGGCTCTGTTGACCTGGGCTAGACATGGGCTAGACATGTGATATGCACGGCTTTTCAGAGAGGGCCCCTGGTCAATTCTTGAGGGATCATAAGCCAGGTAGCAAGGCGTCCATGGTGACTGGGCTGGTAAGCATCAGTTTGAAAGAAATCCGCAACAAGCCGGATGCTCAGCAGATGAGGAGGCGAGGGATTTGTTTAGGGCCAGCAGTACATGAAATTAGGGTTCGCTTTGGGACCCTCTTCTTGGGAGAAGAAAGGGGCCCACCAAAAAGTGTATAGAAACTATTTTTGCATGGGATTGTCCAACCAAACAGGGTGAAAGCCAAACCTGGCATGTTGCTGCCCGTTTCCTCTTGACTTTCGCGGGGCAGTTGCCTCTGAGGCGTGGGTTCCTTTGGTTTCCCCTCCGAAAGGGGTTAAACGGCAACCTCCGCGTTCGGCTTAACCCCCTTTGCCATGGGTCGAGTTGAAGTACGCCGTCCGGGCCAAGGACTATGGCATGACTCCTTTGCGGGCAGCAGAGATCACCGGGCAGACATCTGTCACTTGGCAGGTAGGGCCGGGTAAGGATTTCGCGCTGCAAATGATGCTCCACCTTTTGCATGGGGATGTATGTCCGCCAACCATCAGGGGGGTCCAGAATAGGACCTGACACAGTCAACACGGGCACCGTTCCGGTGTTAGAATGAAAATCCCTCAAAAAGGTCCACTGAGTCCACTGCATGTCTTACATTTTGCAGAAAGGATGCCACGCGGCATCCCGCTGCAAAACGTCGGCCCATGGCCGTTGCAAAGTGTCCGCGAGTTGAACCGAAAGCTGCAGGAAACAGCAAGCAAGGCGTTGATTCCCGGCGTAGCGAAGACGCGACGTCGTCAACAGACAGGGTGTTTCGAGAAGGCATATGGGTGTGACCCTTTGCTCCTTTTTGTCGGCTGGTCTGAAGTGAAAGCAAATGAAATCATATCTGAGGATTCCGAAGTCTGAGACTTACCCAATTGATCTTGGAACGAGTAGTATTGGTACAGTTCGTTTGGCACTCAAAATGTCCTGGGGGTCAACGGGTCAACTTGCAAAACTTGGATAAGGAAGCCCTGAAGACCCCAATGGCCCCCTCTGTAGTTGGCCCGAATAAGTCTTTCTAAGCCCTATTGGCCACTTTGGTTGATTTCGTAATTTTCTTCATATCAAGTGAGAAAGCATTGCATTCATGATTGTAGAATCCCTCTTTGGTATTAGACAATGTTTTCCCTCTCGTACTCTCTTTCTGACAATCATGGTATATCATGGTAGTGCACAGAGGGGTTTAGGAGGACTACCAGGGTTACCATCATGCAAAAAAGGCCTCCTGTCCACTGCCGCGATTGTTGGAAAGAGGGTACCTCCTTGTTATATAGGAGTAGTTATGTAGACATTCCTGCTAATCCAAAACAACTTGACTTCATGTGACCTTGTGTTATCCATGTTGCAGTGGACAGTTGACCGTGTGGCTTTGATGCAGATGCAGTGGCAAGCGCTTGAAGCACAATCCAGAGGGTAGCATTTGCAGGTTCAATGTGTACAACCAAACAGACTTCAACCTAGGGAGTCGTTCATACTGGAATGCATGAACCGCCCTGGGTTTAAGTAAGTCTCTTGCGGGTCACCAACAAAATGGAGCCCTGAGCCTTTGACTTCTGTCTGGGGTGAGGTGATGCAGTACTTGCTGAAGGTGAGGTGTGAGCAGGAGCTCAACAGCCTCTTGCAAGGCAAGAGACCATATGACATTTGGGTTCGAATTTTGTGGAAGGTACTATTTCACCTTGCTTTCAAGTGAAACCAAGAAGGAACACCACCATATTTTACGAATCCCCCCACCATATTTCAGGAATTCCCCTATTTTGACACAATACCCATATGAGTGGTTGTCAACTTCACGGACAGCTGTTTGAACCCATTAAAAGGCAGCACGGGATGTTACCAGAGTCCCAACAGGGCCGCATTTTGAGGCCCCCCGTGTCTTGAGACACCAAGGATTGCCTGTGCACCCTGACAAACTCGGACCATCAATCACTCGCCCCTATCGACAAGTGCATGCCATGAACGAGTAGGATTTTCGCGAACCCCAGTCCAGCCACAGACGCAGCTTTATTTTAGGCTCTCTTCAAAGCAAGTTCTGTGTTGCTTGCAAAAGTCATGGCAACTTGCGCATCGTAGTTTGTGATGACATACAAAGGAAAATGTTTTTGACGGTTGTGTCTACGTGATTGGCTTAGTGTTCGTTCCAGCAAAGCAGGCGATGAGAGTAAAGCGCCTGTTTGAGGCCAATCAGTGAATCAGCTTGCAACTCAGGAATACTTTCACCAGGCATCGTGGAGCTGGAAGACACGGTCTTCGGATGAGCCTGTTTGCGGGCAAGTTGTGTTCATTGAAGCATTGATGCGAATAGATTACATACATTAATTGAGTGGAAGGCTCAGTTGTCCAAAACCTCCTGGCTTGACAAGGTGTTGCTTTCATTTCCAGGGTTGCTCCGAGCCGCTAACAGATGACCACACCTGCTTCCTATTACATCACAGACCAAATGTGTACCCTTGTTTCAGGACTTGCGAGCAACCCGAAGTGATAAGTGCGAACGATGCCTAGCAAAGGCACAACCTTGTCTCTTGCGGATAGTTTTCTTCAAGCTCAGACAGCATGTCAAGTAGGCCCGTCTTTCATCAAGTGGACACGCCTGCTTCGACAACGAGCACGGTTTCTTTTGGTCAGAGGCGTCATGTCTTTGACCTTCTGCTGACTCGTTTTGCCAGTGTATTGGGGCGTGTCGATTTCTTGCGTGGGAAGTCTGCGGATGAGATGTTAGTCATTCCCCAAGATTTCCGGGCTGCCATTGGACCTGTATGTCTTGTTTCAAATCTTAATCTGCAAGTAAGATTGGTTCGGTTCCTTGATTAGTCATGGCCTACAACCAGGCCCGCGCATGTTTCGGTGGATGTTAGTATCGGTGTTCTTCGATTTATCTCGCCGAGTAGCCTGCATTTAGAGAAATGGGCAGCCCCAGAGAATTTCTTTCAATAATTCCCACTGCATGACAGATTTGTTAGATTTAGTCAGTCAGCTGAGCCTGGCTGCCACTGACACTAGATGGTCATCTAGCGCAGAGCAAAAACGCTCATCGGCATCGGGCGGATGCCAATGCTCATGAGCGACGCAGGTTCCAGTGCTGCTTAGGGGGCCCTTGTGTTGGGCAAATTCAACCCAGACCTCACAGAGGGTTCTGGATTGCAACCAAAAACCGGTGATGAAGGCTCCTTTCTTGGTGTTTTCTTAGTTCAGAACTCGAGTCAAGGGGAGGCTCAAGTAGGAATCTTAGCACCTGAGCAACTCCTAGAGCACCTGTTGGCCCCTTGCTTGGCCAATTGAGTAAAGAGTTGCACCCCCTTGTTGTAGGAGACTATAAACCTTTCTAATCACGGCTAGTCTTTGGTGGCTGCGAGCCACTTGAGACATCCTCAAATCCATGTCAGAAGACGATTCAGGTATCAGGCATCTCCTCTCTCGTGAGGCTCGCAAGAGGGGACCCGGTACCCCACGGGGTGAGCACATGGAAATTGCCCAAACCTCGAGCGTGCTTGGGCGAGAGAATACATATAATACACACATTACATTTGCAAATTAGTATGTAGATACATATATATATATATATATCAATATGTTTTAGAGCCTCCGGCCCAGTCCGCCGACATTGCACCCCTGCGTGTCCTTGTAAGTTGCCCTGCGTCAAGCCGAGGATGTCCTTTTGCTTTTTTGTGTCCTTTCATTTTCATTTCTTCTTTTTTTATGTCCTGTCATTTCCTATCATTTCCGCGCCATGGCCCCTTCATTTCCTTCCAGTTTCTCCTTTATTCCTCTGTCCTTTTCCCCTCATTTCCCATGCATTTCCCCTTCATGTCCAGTCATTTCCCTCCTACATCTTTATTTGAGTCCGTTCGTTTCCCCTTCCCTGTCTTTCACGTCCCTTCGCTTCATTCCCCCTTCATTTCGTGTTCCTTTCCCCTTCGCTTCCCTTTCAGCTTCCCTTCGTTTCCCTGGCATTTCCCCGCACTTCACCGTCGTTTCCCCTC